TAGCATCTAGCTTAAAACATGAACCAAATTTAATCATTGGAAAGATGTTGCATGATGCTCTGGTGACCTATAAGGCCCATGGGCCTCTTGTTTCACTTTGTAAATCTATAACATCAGCTACTATTTTGCCTTTTTTTCAATTTATAGTCAATAAACAAATAAAATATAAATAAATCAATAAATATTAACAAAAAATAAAGTATGAAGGGTTAATATTACTTTATAATGTAACTCCGAAAATCATGCCGTATTTATTCACCGACAGTATTTATGTAAGAATACGAGGTAATTATTTTCGTCTCTGAATTCGAATTTCTTGTATAGTACAGAAAATTGTTTAAAAATATTTTTCTTCGCGTTTGACAATACAATAGACTCTGATATGATCACTTTAAAGACATACTCTATTTAACATTTCTTTTAAAGTATCTAGTATTTTCGCACAACAAAACAAGGAGATGTTGGTAAATTGGAAAGAAGCCAGGTTACTTACGGTTATCCACATGCAGAGGTTCTTCATTATTTTCACTTGGATTTGAAAATAGCTCGCTTAGAACTACTGCATATATAACCTGCCCTGTTCATCAAAAAAAAAAAAAAAGAAAAAATCATATTTGGAAAATTTTTGAGAAGGTAAGTTTGTTAAAAATAAATATGATGTATAATGTTTGTAAAAAACAGTGGATATCGTCAGAAAGTGGTTTAATCTTACAGATACCAAACATCTGTTTCGTGTAGATTACAACCACATTTCAAAAATAGCATTTCACGACAAATTAGTCTTCAGAACATTACAACATATGGACAATTTGTGCATTTTGTAATCAATATGAGGGAAAAGAACTACTTTCAAAGACACTCCTCTTAGTTAACCAGAAGTCTCTGTCGAGACTTAAGCTCTACTGGTTTGTACGTTTTGCATTTTTAGTAACCACGGCAACACCATTCATCTTAATCGATACACAGAATTACAGTCCCTGAAACGGTCTACTTTCCCATTTTTCCGTTCACTCACCGTTCGTTCAGCGTGCGTTCACCGTTCGTTCTTCGTTCACAGTTTTGCGTTCACAGTTCACCGTGCGCTCGCGTCCACCGTTCGCTCTTCGTTCCGTTTACTTTGCGTTCACCGTTCACTTATCGTTCAGTCGTCATTGTCATTCCGAACTCCGAAGTGAAAGGACTTATCTTTTTGATGGTAAGGATTTACTCGTTTATTAATTAAATAAATTAGAAATCGTGTTTGAAAATAACTATTTCATTACAAAAATTATCTATGATATTTATATTTCTATTATAATAATTCAGCTGTTATTTTATTCTTAGAATTTTCCTGGAAAATAATAAATTTAAGTACCTACATGTATGTAGAACGATGCTAAAATATTTAATTTAAAAAACGGCAGTGTACAAATGCTTCACGCACGGCAACAATTTGTTGCAATGTTAGAGCGACAAATTGTTAATTAATGTATAATAATTAATCCAAGTCTTTTACAAGGCAAGAATACACAAAAAACAAAATATTTCTAGAGTGACACACATTTTAAACTACACGTAGGCCTGATAATTATGAACAGTACTGCAAATATTCACTTAATTAAATATCTTTAGAGCTAATTAAATTGATAGCGTGACTTTAGATTTTAGAAAAGACCAACTGTTTAAAATAGTCTATTATTAGAGAAGGAAAATCCCTTTCTTCACCGTACCTAAATATATGTTTGCCATTCAGTATAATTAAGACCCCCTCCCCGGTGCCTTTTCTCCTGAAATAAAATTCTTGGTGAGTATTTTCAGTATTTAACTAATACGTACTTAATGTGTATTGTACCACAATAAAATCAGTCTTAAAAATTAAACAAAAGTATTTTAGAATAAACTTGTGCTGACAGTAGTATTTTAAATTGGCAGGGAATATGTTTCAAACTCAATTTAAAACTTAATCCTTCTAAGTATATGTTCCCATTATTTATTTTTTTTTTCTGCAGGAATGCAAAAAACATGCAGATCTAGAAATGATAGGGAAAAATATTAAAACTTCGGAAAGTTCTTTGAAACGCGATTTCCACGCCTCCACTGTGTCGAATAAAATTTGATCGACAGGACAAACACATGGACCGTGTGAACTTGATGACGGAAAATAAAAGCCAATGATTACTGTTAAATGGATATGTTAATCTAAAAAAATGATTATCTTTACTGCTTGGAATATCTAAGAAAAATATTAAGAGTTTTTATTTAATACAACAGATATCTCAGAATTGAAGGGGTATATATATATCTCTCTCTCTCCCTCTCTCTCTCATACAGTTCTCTGTTCAATAAAAACTATGTCAACACATTTACTTATTTAGTTTTGAAATTTTAATAAATTACAAAAAAATTGAATGCTTCTTAATTTCCATCATCTTGCAAAGTATAATCACGGCCGGGACATGTAGAAATTAGCTAAAATAATCTTCATAAAAGAATACAAAAGACACATAACTAAGAATATTTTGCAATAGAATTTTTTTTACAAAGGAGGTTTTCTGCAAAACGTCAACAGACAATTGTGAATTTAAAAAAAAAAACGTTATTTTACTCAGAGTCTTGGCACGGAAATACACGTATTGTTGATTCAACCGCGTACAATGTAATTAATTAATTCTATAAGTATTAGTTTTATCTTCTAAAGTCCACATTATTTTATGAGTGAAAAGATAAGCATATTTACTTTATATATATATAAATAGATTAATTTTATATTTAAACTACACGCGTTCGGTAACAAATACACATTTTTACGGCAATTAAAATCGTGTTATAAAACTATCGATCTAAATCATTGCTGCATAAGTAGTATAAGCCGCCTGGATGGGTGGGTCAACTGAGTGCACTTTTGGGGCTGAGGGGGATAGGTGGGTCAAGGGAGTGCAGCCCCTGTGTGGGATAGGTGGGTCAACAGAGTGCAGCCCCTGGGGGGATAGGTGGGTCAAGAGAGTGCAGCCCCTGTGGGGATAGCCGGGTCAATTCAGTACATATGTTGCATCATCTTTTTGATACCTGTTGCATCATCTTTTTGATACCTGTTGCATCACCTGTAAGGGGGGCCGTGTGCAAAAAATATGCTTACCTATGCATTGTGACGTCATCCACTGTATAAATATGGCTTTTCTCCTACTTTCAGCTCATTCTACAGTCAGATCCAGCTCCCTGCCTGTGGGGGGTCATGGATTCTACTAGAGAAAAACAGTTACATGCTCAGCGATTATTAGAATGGAAAAAAAGGGAAAGAGAATTAGAACGAATTCTATATGAGAAAAGAGAGCAAGAGTTAAAGCTCCGGGAAAAAAATGCTAAAATATTACAGAGAAGAGCTCAATTAGAACAACAACGACAACAACAACTACAACGACAACGACAACGACAATTACGGGAGAGAGAATTAAATCAAATTCTTGATGAAAATAAAGAGCGAGAATTAAAGCTTCGGATAAGAAATGCCAGACTATTACAGAGAAGAGCACAACTAGAAAAACAACGACAGCAACAGCAAAGGACTAGGGCGCATGAGGGGTCAAAGTTACCTATTCATTCACCACCCAAACCCAAGGCCATATCCCAGTATTATCGAGTCACAGTGAATGAAAGGGTCCACTCTAGAAAATTTAAAGCTCAAGAGGATTTTTACACTGTGATTTTTAAGGAGTTTCCAGAGGAAGAAAACAGAGGATTTGTTCGGCGATTATTCAGACACATGTTACAAACCTTCAAATCTAAAATGCAGTGTAATCCCAACGATTACCTCCGCCTGAACATACGCCACCATTCTTTGGAATCAGAGATTTGGTACGAGTTTACTCAATGTAAACATTTTAACGAGGACCTCATTTCAGACAAGATTGAAACCGTGCAACAATCCAGAAAGGAGTTCAAACTGGGCGACGGGGGCATGGAATTTGATATGTTTCGGGTCAAGTATCCCGAGGGAAGTGGTGGCCAGAAAACCAAGCATTTACAAGTGAATAAGGAGACTTTTAAGAACAATAAAAGAGCCATCGTTCGGATCGTCAATCCCTGGGATAAAATTTGTTTAGCTAGAGCCATCGTCGTCACTCGATTACACAGTCAAAAACCCGAACATCCAGACCCCGAATGGGAAAAACAATGGCTTGCTATGCGGAAGGGAGATAGGCAATCCTTAGACCAGAAACGAGAAGCCATAGCCCTCATGGAACAGGCCGGGTGTGATATCACTCAAGCTTGTGGATATGCAGAGTGGCCGAAATTACAACAGGTGTTAGCTCCTCAGTATCGACTGAAAATATTTCATTTCAAGTCTACTTCGACTAAACTCACCTTAGAGCGCATCTTCAAAGGCTAGGGAGACGGAACTTGTTTGAACATATTGTTAGACGACCATCATTACGATGCCATCATATCCATGCCGGGAGTAACGGGGAACCAATATTACTGTGATCATTGCGACGTGGGGTACACTCATGTCACAGAACATCGATCCAAGTGTCTTCATCGCTGTACCTATTGTTTAGGACAACACCCTAAATGTCCCGATGAAGGGATCGAGATTAAATGTCGGGAATGTCATGGAATGTTTAAGAACAGGACCTGCAACGAAAATCATTTAAGACCCCATAGTAAGAAAACCACAACTACTGTCTGCAATTTAATGGGGCTATGCGAGAAGTGTCAGTCCTGGATACCTAAGAAATTATTCCCTCATCACAAGTGCGGAGGACAGAAACAGTGTAAGATCTGTAAGAAAATAGTCGATACCGATCATCAGTGCTACGTACAACAGAAGCCCCAGAAGAAGAAGAAGAAGGGGAAAGACACCTTAGAGTTTTACATCTATTTCGATTTCGAATGCACTCAGGAAACCGGCATTCACATCCCTAATCTGTGTGTGGCACACCGCGTCTCTCAGCATTGCGGTCACTTACCCATAGACCAACCCTGCCCTCATTGTCAACACATGGGACCCCGTCAGCACCTATTTCAAGGACCAGACACCTTAAAGAAGTTCATGGACTGGTTATTACAACCCACTACAGGTACTAAGAATTCCACTTTAGTACACGACGAGGCCATCGTCATCGCCCATAACTTCAAAGGCTACGACGGACAATTCATTTTGAATCACCTGGTGCATTCCTCTTGCCTGAAACCTAACGTCATCATGAACGGCAGTAAGATCTTGTACATGGAAATATGCGGACTGAAATTCATCGACTCCTATAGTTTCTTACCATTTCCTTTGGCTAAGATGCCCTCCGCTTTCGGATTCGACGAATTGAAGAAAGGTTATTTCCCTCACTTTTTTAATACGGAACAGAACCAGAATTACGTAGGACCTTATCCACCGGCAGCTTTCTACAATCCTGACGAAATGTCTATCAGTGGACGACGGGCTTTTTTCCAATGGTACGAACAACAGAGGGGAAAAGTGTTTGATTTCCAGAAAGAGTTTGTAGGGTATTGTGTCTCGGACGTCGACATTTTACGCCGATGCTGTGCACAGTTTAGAGCCACCCTCAAGAGTTTGGTCAATGTGGACCCTTTCCAGGAATCCATCACTTTTGCCAGTGCTGCTAATTTAGCCTACCGTCGACAATTCATGCCTGAAGACACCATTGCCATCATTCCTAACCTCGGGTATCAACCGGCACGACAATATTCGGCTAAAGCCTGTCGGTGGCTCACCTGGATGAGTCAACAGAGTGGATGTCACATACAACATGCCAGAAACGGGGGCGAAGTCCAGATCGGAAATTATACCGTCGACGGATACCAGGAAGCGACTCGCACCGTCTACGAATTTTACGGGTGCTATTGGCACGGATGCCCCACCTGCTATCCCAGTTTACAGACCGAAACTCATCCTCATCGGACCCAATTTACTTACCAGCAATTAAACGAAGAAACCCTCAGAAGGACTGGCGATTTAGAAAACATGGGGTATACCGTCCGTGGTATCTGGGAGCACGATTTCGATCAGCAAGTGCAAAAAGATGAAAGTTTACAACAATTTGTAGGAAACCTGGACATTCCGGATCCTTTGAAACCTCGAGAAGCCCTGTACGGAGGTCGGACCAATGCCACCCGATTATATTGTGAGGAAGGGGACATGAGATACGTGGACGTTTGTTCCCTATACCCTTACGTGTTGAAACACAGACCTTTTCCCGTAGGGCATCCCGAGATCATCACAGAGGAGTTCCAGGACGTGAGAAATTATTTCGGTCTCATTCACTGTCGGGTATTACCTCCCCGAGACCTCTATCACCCCGTATTACCTTATCGGACGGGAGGCAAGTTATTATTTCCCTTATGTCGCACGTGTGCCGAACGACAGGACTCTACGTCTCAAGATCGATGTCAACACACCGACCAGGAACGTAGTCTCACGGGTACTTGGGTGACGACCGAATTACATAAAGCCCTAGACAAGGGATATACCTTAGATCGAATCTACGAAGTGTGGCATTTTAAAGAAAGCAGTCAAGAGTTATTCAGATCTTACATCGATACCTTCCTCAAGATCAAACAGGAAGCGTCCGGATTTCCCCCCGACTGTAAGACCTCAGAACAAGAACAAGATTACATTCGACAAGTGTTATACAAAGAAGGATTCATGATGGACATTCTCAGTATCGAGAAGAATCCAGTGAGAAGAACCATTGCTAAACTCTTTTTAAATTGTCTGTGGGGAAAATTTGCTCAACGCTTGTTATTACACAAAACCAGATACTTGGACGAAGAAGAGGAATTACAACAACTCTTACAAGATTCGACTCTCGACATCAAGGGCATGCAGCTCTTAGACAATAAAGAGGATTCCAATAAGGACAAGATGCTAGTGAATTATCAAGACAAACAGGAATTCGTCGAAGAATGTCCCTTTGGAAACGTGGTCCTAGCTTGTTTTACCACCGCGCATGCCCGCTTACACCTCTACGAGACTTTACAACCTTTAGGAGATCGGGTCCTTTATTTCGATACAGACAGTATCATTTACCAACATCCGGAAGGAGCCTTTAATCCTACCTTGGGTAATAGTTTAGGAGAATGGACCGACGAATTAGACGGGGATCACATCATCAAATTCATGTCGGCAGGCCCTAAAAATTATGGTTACCGGACGGCCAAAGGAACCGAGGTTCATAAAGTCAAAGGAATCACTCTCAACTATCGTACCTCCCAGATCGTGTCCCTGGAGACTTTAGAAAAAATGCTCAAAGGAGAAATAGAGGAAGTGACAGTCCCTTATCCCAACAAAATCCAGAGGACTCGTGATCATGAGGTCTTGAGCAAACCATTAGAGAAAAAGTATAGAATTGTGTATGATAAGAGACAATTGTTACCCTCTTATAACACTTTACCTTATGGTTATTGATATGTTCAATGTTGACATTGAATTAAAAAATTGAATTGTTGTTTTATTGTGTTGTTGTTTTTTTTCTTCTTCCTATAAAAAGGGGAGCAATACAAATCAAAAGTTCAGTCATGACTGAGAAGTTGCTAGATCAACCCATGCGTTATCCCCAGTATGCTCGGCTCTCAAAGAGAGAAGCTACTTTTGAGCAGGGATGGCCAGAACCTCTCTTAGGAAAAATACCAGACCTAGCTCGAGCCGGGTTTTACTACAGGGGAGTGAAAGATAGCGCTACCTGTTTTCATTGTGGAATGATTTTTAGTAATTGGGATCCCGAGGACGATCCTTGTGTAGAACATGCTTATTGGAACCCCAATTGTTCTTACATCAATCTGTATAAGGGACGAGGGTGGGTGATGAATGTGTTTATTACGTGTTTAGAACAACAGGGATATAAACCTTTACCTGAGATTAAACCTCTACTGAACCCACAACCAGACGTCCAGGCTCGAGGAAAATGTCACATTTGTTTAGACGAGGAATTACAAATCGTTTTTCTACCTTGTGGACACGTGTGTTGCTGTGCCTTGTGTGCTCCTTCCTTTCAGTTTTGCCCCATCTGTCGAGGCGAGATTCAACAGTCAAAACGTCTATTTCTGTGTTTACTATAAATAAGATCCTGAACCCAACTTTTCTTTCATTGATCAACATGTATTCCGAGGAGACACCCCTCCCTTCTTTTCAATTGAAACACGAGTTTACCATGGTGGTTGCTGGACCCTCGAAATCGGGCAAAACAGAATTCGTCAAGACATTAGTGAACAATTTAGACTGGATCACCCC